TCTGACCTGCAGCTACTGTGGACGAGAGTACGTCGTTCCGCTGTAAAAGTAGATTGTCGAACGTCCCTTGCGAAATACTTTGTTTAACTTCGTTTGCGTAAGGGTGGCCATCTGACACGAACTGCATCTCTAGTGTTGTAAGGACTAAAGAGTTAAACGGTGTTCGCGGGTGCCCGTGTAACAGGGATTACATCCTTCCGCACTGTGACTGAATTCTACAGCGCTGAATCGGACGAGAAGCGAAGGGCTCTACTCGAAAGATCAATGGCCGTAACTTTATTTCTGACGGGCGTAGGGTTCCCACAAATGTCGCAGTGATAGCTTCGGTTGGGATCCTTTCATTGATCACTAGACGATTACATCGGTAAGTCGAAATGACGCCTGCTCCAGAGAGCCTGTCTAGGGCCTCAGCTAGAATTACCTTAGAGACGACTCCCCATACAAGACCTCTGGTAAATGCAAGGTGAGGCGGAATAAATGAATTCACCGGGGTAGTGGCAAACAATGCGCATTTTAGTAGATCTTGCACCTATGTCTGGTCCGGCGACCTACACACAATACCTCCTCGCCCGAATAGGCACTGTTGCGATGGAGGACTTTGTCGGGACCGGGAGCCATCAAAGGGTCAGGGCGAATACGAACCGAGGAGCCGGAGATAAAAACAGGAACGGTTATTCACAGATATTTACATTATTTAGGTTGCGTGACATGAAAAAAAAAAGAACCTTTCTCGAGGATCTCTGCACTCGCGTTTTATGTCCTCTGTCTTCCCGAAATTCCCCGCAAGGGCAAACAGTTGAATTCACGACCCTCCAATGGGATCATCGTCTTTCACTCCGCCCCCGAAGAAGCATAGTCACGCACCATCTCCCTCTGAACCCAAGAAAGGAGCAGGATAGGCACACACAGTTCGTCACACAGGAAAGGGGTTACACACAATACGCTATGTGGCAGCACGCACAATGGCACGGTGCGAGGATTTGGAACCCCAAGCGCAGACTCGACCCATCCGATTGTCAAGGTTCAGTGTTAACTGATCAAGGACAAGGAAGCATCGCTGCTTCGCTGCTGGGCAGGCCGGGGTGCACAGGAAATGAAGACCGGAAAGGCCCCTAGAATGCGAAACACGTGCCCGAAGATGATTCTCTGGCGCTCGGCAGCATTGTCGGGTGCATTTTGACGACTCCGGCAACAAAGAGGGGATCAGTCGTTCAAGGCAGCCCAGACAGCAAAACGGCTCTTTCCAGGCAATCCGTCAGTCGTGCGTGTCTAAAGAGCTTTGAGGAGGTGAACCAACAGACCTAAAAAATTCGCAGTGCACTACTCCTGTGCTGTCGCCGATTGTGAACACCTCAGGAAGTGCTGCGAAGCCAGAAACCTTTTTCGCGTTCAAACAGCGCCAAGACTCTAGGGCCGATCACAACAAAGCACATCTTTGATGGTTTGGAAATGGTTCAATGAGGCTTTAAGTTCCTTTTGGACCACCTGAAGGTTCGTAAGTCTGTTGAAGCCTCCATTTGTAGGCGTACCAGTGGAACGGGAAGCGTGTATTGAAATGCTGCTGCCGCAGCTTACGTGTGAGAGAAAAGAAAGAGAGCAAGGGGAAGGCGGCCGCTCCGTCACGATGGCTCGCGCGCTATTGGTCCTTCCTGTCAATGTTACGTAGCTGGGGACGCGTGTGCCTGCAAACGCACACACACACGGAGTGTTCATGGCTGTTTCATCTAGCGGAAGCAACTTCGATCGCTCCTTCGCTGCCTTGTATAGACGGTATCCTTAGGATCAGGCAGCTGCTGACGGCATTGTGCCACTATGCGGTGGAGGCACCTGCGACTGGTTTAGTAATGCGGTGATTGTTTGAATGTGTGAAGTTTGTCTGACTGTTAAACGTGAAGTGCCTCCACGTCGACAAGTGCATGGTCGGTGACGCGCACTAGTGAATCACCACAAACAGCCTTGCAGACATCAAATACGACGTGGATAATCAACAGGGAAACAAGAAATCCAGATTTCGCATGTTGTCCGTTTCCGTCACAAGGGCGAAAACCAAGTATAATAAGAATTGATGATATCGACGATCATTGCAAAGCCACACTTGATCCACCATCCAAAAAAGTTCTCTTCAGCCAGCGTGGTTTTTTTACTACCCAGAGATCGACGCATCGGTAGCATTCTGCCCCTGACAAGGTTTTGCTGTGCTCCCGGGGTGCTACCGAAGGAGCGTATGTTACATTAGCCTCGACGTTGACCACCGAGTTCTTGTTCACCCGGGGATACTGCTGGTTGTGAAACACGTGTGGCTTATTTACTCACAGGACGAACGTGCTGCAGCCTGTTTCATCGTATGGAAATCAATAAAACGGGAGGTTGTTGGTTTCAGTAAAAAAAAAAACGTATGAAAAACGCTAACCATTCCAGTCATTAACAGTTTCGTGGATTTCAACAGCGGCATTTCCACGCTTCAGCTGCTATTTTATTGCTGCATATTATGACACCATTCAATCACTAACAGAGCGCCATGGCTTTCAATATGGTGAGCGAGCGTATTTGTTTAAACACCACTGCTTAATATAAGCTGAGGAATTCTCTCCACCGAACGACTTAGAAAGCACCAACAACACCAACACGGCGTCACTCACCAGGTTTTTCTGGACGAGAAGAACAATTCACACTGAATCCAGCAAGAAGTGAATCACTGGCAGTGTGCTGTCATCTATCAACGAACGTAGAAATCAAGAGGCGCCATGTTGGCCAAGGTTTGAAAGAGCAAACCGCGAGTCTACGCTACTTTCCACGTACAATGAATGCTATGGGATTCACGCACTAGATAATCACTGACGAATGCTATACGTATGAGAAAAAAAAAAGGTTTATCTCAACTGCTAAGGTTCAACGATACCATTTTACTTACAAAGTGGCTGAAGAAAATCTTGCGAAGCTGATGTGTGTACTCTGTGGTATAGAGTTTCCTAAATGCTCGGCGGGTTATAATCTAAAGCGCGACTTTCCACGCATTGTCACGAAAACTTCGCGTCTCGCAAGAACGAATAAGATTTGTCGTGTCACGAACGGTCCGGTGTATTCACTCACGAATGAAACTTACAGTGGTTTTCGTTCGTCTGCCTACTGATCATTCTCTAAAGGACGTTTCTGAGCTCCGCTAGGCGGCGCGACAGTATATGAACATTGTGAATACCATGCTTAATTAGGCCGGATAAGTTGAGTAGTGGCACAGCTTTGTTAATATTTAACTAGTCGGGGTAAACAGAGGAAGACATTTGGGGCACACCTTCAAACTTTGCATGCATCAATTTTAGCGCAGCTTCATTGATGTGCTGCACCTTGAGTGTTATTTGCTTGCACTTGGCGGGATGGCGCACAGTTTTTCGCTTAAAGTCATTAAGCTATTAATTTCCTCTTACTTTCCTTGATTGATATGTGGGGTTTAACGTCCCAAAACCACTATATGATTATGAGAGACGCCGTAGTGGAGGGCTCTGGAAATTTCGACCACCTGGGGTTCTTTAACGTGCACCCAAATCTGAGCACACGGGCCTACAACATTTCCGCCTCCATCGGAAATGCAGCCGCCGCAGCCAGAATTTGAACCCGCGACCTGCGGGTCAGCAGCCGAGTACCTAAGCCACAAGACCACCGCGGCGGGGCCCTCTTACTTTCCTCTAGCTATACTGTCATTGGTGAAACGTGAGCGCTGGGTTTTGCGCAGGACAGCCTGACGTCTGTTACAACGCGGCAGCACGCATAAGCTGTAGCAGATGCTTTAGCGGAACTGAAAAGCTGATATGCAGCAAACCATTGGCTGTCATAAGATTTCCTTGATGCTGGACGCTTCTCCTGCCACCTTGCTATCGTAGGCAGACACTTCTTTCTTGTCGTTTCAAAAGCTTTTGTCTCTCGTTCTTGCTCTCAAATTTTTTGAGTAAGTTAAATTTGTGCAATTGCTATCGTTTCGCACCCCCTCAAGATAAGAGAATTCTCGGCTAAGAAAATGCGCAGCCAAGAAAAAACATTGAGAATCCAGGATTTCGTGGTGCTAATATGTAGGTGTTGCATCGTTACGCCACTGCAACCTAAACATATGCAGTGGATTAACATACTGATTGATATGTTGGGTTAAACGTTCCAAAACCACTATATGATTATGAGAGACGCCGTAGTGAAAGGCTCCGGAAATTTCGACCATCTGGGGTTCTTTGACGTGCACCCAAATATGAGCACGCGGGCCTACAACATTTTTGCCTCCACAGAAAATGCAGCCGCCGTAATTGGGATTCGATCCCGTGACATGCAGGTCAGCCGCCGAGTACCTTAGCTACTAGATAACTAAGGCTGGGCCGGTTAAACGACTCTCTGTGCATGCATTTGTACATATCTTTAGCGCCACTTTGTAACGCTTTGCTCAATGAAAGGGTTACAACTCAGTGCTCAGTGAAAGGGTCTCCTTTCATCCGCCTGCTGTGCATAATATCGATTATCAAGGTTCGTTAGATCTGCCGAATTTTCGGCTTCTTTTAATCACTAACACACCACTGTGCGTGCAGACCAAGCTCTTGTGATACTGCGGATGTAATTTCTTTTTTTTTTGAAGTAGAAAATCGTCTTACCTGAAAACTCCACTTTTACTCGGTTTGTACCATCTAACAGCGGCCTTGCATTAACCGATTCTCGTCTCCAACTTGACAACCGAATTTGAGGAAGACGTCTGCATGCATCATTATTATTAACAACATAAACAAGTGTTGTGTTTTCATAAGTTGCGTTTGCACATAGAGCTAAAGGACACATTCATCACATTCATAAAAGCAAAATTGGTCACCTAATGACCTTTGCATGCTTTGTATTTAATTTCTTTCTTGTTTTTCTACAAATAATGGCGAATACTAATTAGCTGACCATGTTTCATTTACAAACAGCAGCCAGTGCTCAAGAGCGTGGGTAGAAAGAGCTTGACTACCTGCGCGCTCAATAATGTCATAAACTTCATAAATATCTTCAATATATTTTATTGCATTGAGATAATGAACACATGTCTGCTTTTTATTTAGCTTCATGTTTTTATTATTATGTGGTGACAAAATGTTTGGAGGGCACTACACGGACTTATTGCTCTGTAGCATAAACATTATCACTACCACTGAAGTGTAATATAGTGGTTCTATTCTCTATTTAGGTTCCTATGCTGAAAAAAAGATTATTTGGCTGGCAAACTATGAGGTTTATGTTCGTCGTGTGATTCTGGTTACGTGTTTGCGAACTCACAGCACACAAATCAGATCACCAGCGCAGGTTACACCACACTCATATGCACTCCGACATCGCCACTGAAATATATCAGGTTAATAAGAATCTGTATAATGCAACCACGCTTCTTAGTCACGTTCTACGCATTGTTCTCTTGGTCCAGGGAAAAACCAGCCGTGGAAGTCACCCGGAACCGAGGAGGGACAGTCAAACTCAACCATAGCCAGCTGCTGGAAGCTTTGTGCGTCCAGGACAACGAGGGCCAGTTGCTTATCGTCGTCCTCATGCAGCAGGGAACTGAGGACGACGCCGTCATCTTCCTCGACGCCGCCGGGGCGAGAGACGAAGACAGGCTCGGACGGGTACCAGCCCTGCCTTTCCCAGCGTTGCCACTCACCAGTGGTGACGTCGATCTTAGAGAGGAACACTCTGTGCTCCTGGCCCGGCACATTGCTGGTGCAGTAGGCGAACCGGTATGGTTTCCCATTGTAGTTCTGGTTGACACGTGGAAGCTCACCATAGAGGTCTCCCTTCACGAGCTTCTGCGGCACGACAATGGTTCTTTCGCAGCTGCCTCGATTCAGCGGCAACGTAAAGCGGAGAAGGTGAGCCAACTCGAATTTTCCTGGATTTATTTCCGAGTAGGAGACACTCCTCACAATGTTGTCGTTGTCGAAGCAACATACATCCACGATAATATCGTCGCCTCGCTCAAATGCATTTATGTGGTGAAATATGAAATAAGTGGCGGCCTCGAACTCAGCTGGATGCAGCTCCCCAGTTCTTTTGTTCATCACGTGAAAGCGGAGGCCTTTTGTCGGGTCGAACTTGAGGGCATCCACGTATGCCTTGTCACCGAGTAATTTACACCGAAGCATCGTCGGCAAGTGTAGGGCGAGAGGCTGTTCTACAACGACCGCCCAATTCTCCGTGAGACCGAAGCTGTGCACGTAGGGAATGGAGGTGCGGGAGCTGAACGGTATCTTTCCCACTGCTCTGACGCCACTCAGACCACTGGAAGGGTAGTGAATTAAGACGAACCCTGGATGAAGTCCCATCTTCGTGCCGATGTTGTATGTAGAGCCATCGTCCGAGTCTTGGTGAGGGTGTGCCGTGGCAGTATGTACGGCTACGAAGTCTGTCAATTTCTTCTTATCAACAGTCTCCAGAGTAACAGGATCCACTCTGAATATGTACGGCGACTCCGTCATGGCGTATACTTCATCGCCTATGGGCATCACATTCACGAGCGCATTGTCCGATATGTCCACAGTGAAATACGAGGTCAGGTGGTCGAACAAAGAGGCGCAAGGGTCGGGGTGGCCCAAAGTTCCGAATTCGGAGACAACAATGCGGTTGGCCCTGTGGTTGCGGATGTAAGCTTTGCTCCTCAGGAAACGGTTTTTGTAAAATACTTGACCATTTTCAATGCTGAACTGCCTCACCAAAGCGAGTCCATCAAATACGTGGTTGTATCGGTCCGGACCAACCACGGAAAGACCGGGACCATTTCGCAGAAGTGTTCCTCGGAGCCACTGTGGTAGCTCTCCGTGCACCACACCACTGATTGCATCCGAGACTTCGGGAACGCAGGAGCGCTGGTAAAACTTCCTCAAATCCCAATTACGCACTTGCGGGGTTTCATTGTCAACACCCATAACTCAAAAATGTTCAAGCGACGGTCACAGTGCCGTTCCAGTGGCGACAAAATATAAATGCAGCGTCGTATGAGTCTCGAACAGTCAGTAAGGGCGTCCTTATTGGTGCGCGGTAATAACACGACGTACCTTGTAGCTGTGTTCCGGCGCTTTTGCCAGCCCATTAATAGTCTGCCAATATGAAGATATCGCTGAGTGTGGGAAAAAAGAGAAAATGTCGTGTCGTGTGGCACAGGTAGCAACACGCGTTACACTTGGTACGATAAAGCTTTTCTGGCGGGCGACCCCATATCTCCCCTCGATATCCCCATTGAACTTCTTTGACCTGTGTTTTGACGCATAGATTTTGTGCCTTACAGACCTATATTGATTAGTGGTCCAACGAAGAGCAAAAGCAAAATGAGGGCTGCTCCATTTTGTTTTTGTAGATTGATTAGCTGACAGAACCCATTCAACCTTCCACGTGTGGAGTAAGCTGAGCAAAAAAAAAGATAAAGGAACAAATAGATAGAAGGAATATAAATATATGACGCACAATAAGATTTTTCGCGTACGCTGTCTATGAAACTTCCGCTCGTACCTACACCGTACAAGAAAAAGTGCGGCAGGTGGTTGAAACTAGAATTCACAGTTTCCTTTTCAGAAGCTGGCCTAGTGTTTTTGTGTGCAAAATATGTCTCTGGATATAACTGAGAAGTGTCTTTAGGTATTAATGACACTGTGTGATGGATATAGAACGCATAACAAGTAGCCTAGGTCACACCCCCATCCCTCTGAGTAGTGAACCACAGTCATTATCTGTTTCTGCACAGGTTTCATAGGGTATTCACTTTGTATTTATATAAGCTGCACATTTAAATAAGCTATGGTGAAGTTTTATTAAGCAGTTTACAGCCCCTTTATGTAGGATGTGAGCAGCGCTAAAAATTTTAAGGCATTATATTGTGATAGAGCTCACTTGGAAGTCTGCACTTGTCTTTGTTTACTAGGGCTATTAAAGGTACCTGCAGACCCAGGGCAGTGATCCATGAGAGGGAGAAATGTACAGGGAGTGAACAAGCCGCTAGTTACCGGCATCGTGGTCATTGAACTCGATGTTAAGCCGCACTTCATTGTACGGCCCTACGTACACCGTATATGGAGGAAGTTTACATTCCACGCAGGATGCCTACGCTCAGTACGGACGCAGTTCTTACGATTTTGTCGAATCTGCCAGCTTACCTCAACAAGCAGCCCACTCCCAAGAGGAATGATCACGAGAAGGCAAAATAAGGTAAACAGAAAGGTTACAAAGGTGAGGAATGTAGAAAAACTTCGAGTGGCCATGGCGCCTGGGCGGCCTTCGTTTACGGAAATACGCGTGCGTAGGAAACGCTGGATGCTCAACGAACTTCGAGACGAACACCGAGTACGTTTTACTTCATGTTATATGGAGTCACTTTCAGGTGTGGTCACTGAGGAAAGGGCCATGCTCTTGGCTGAATGCAGCGTCATTGCTTTGCGCTCAAGGACGTTCGTGCTGCAAGCAGCTGAACGGTGCGTCTAACTTTTTAAGGTGATACACAACCACGCCACATGATACTCGTGACATACATACCAGCAAAAGCACAGCATAACGACGTGGAAGTGGTCTCACGACCAACCAGACAATAAGAACGCAAGGCCAAATGGAGGTAAGAGCAGTTTACGCGGCCTAACTATATCCGAAGAAGATAACACGTTAGAAGCCTAACACACATCTCGCGCTGCTGCCTGTGTGTGCGTGTTCTATGTTTCTAACGTGCTATCGTCTTCGCACAGTTTGGACGTGTGAAGTAAATATTTGAACAAATTTTCGCAATAAGATGCCATTTAAGTGCAGTTTATAGCACTAACTTCCTGAGCAACGCAAGGAAAAAAAATGACTTCTGTGCAAACGAAAAGTGCTTACAATGAATTAGTTTGGGTCTTTGAACGACCGTTCGGTGCGATTTTTTCGTGCGCCAATTGTTATAAAATGTTCTTCTTTCGCGTGTAAATATGATACCAACATTACATTGTCTGATTTTTCTGCTTGTGCGCCCTATAGACACTAATAGACACTGTAAACAACGTGTTTTTCCTGATCGCGAAGATCACACGAACACTCAGTTCAGTTATAACCATCGCTTTGCAAAAGTCAATGCTCCCCAAATGGCCCCATTACTTGAATGGTCTACTCATTGAAGTGAATTGGCGCTCATCGAATGACTAGGACGAGCTTTCAAAAGTGGTCGATCGCCGCGCCACCGCTGCAGCTCCCGCTGCGTGCGTCAGGCAGAGAGGCGTGGTTGGGCCACTGGAAAGTGTCCTACTGCATAGCATAGCCTCGCATAGTATTGTTTATGCGCCACAGACAGTGGAGTGGATATGTGAAAAGCAGCACTGACCCTAGCACAGCCATACAGAGTATAGTATAATATAGTATATTATATTATACTAAATATAGTAATAGAAAGTGTAGTGTAGCATAGCTGGAAATGATAAAGAGACGTTAAGGTGAGAATGAGTGATGTGAAAGTGATGAGGAAAGAAAAATAGGAGGCAACAAGAGACATAATGGCTTAGGCATGTTGAGAGAGTATAGCATAGCAAGGCGTGAGAAAGTGAACGGAGGGTAAAGAGAGGGGATGTGTGGGACAGAAGAAGGGTAAAAAGGAGAGCCAATACACAAAGCTATAAAAAAAGAAACAAACTCGAAAGAAAGAAAGAAAGAAAGAGAGAAAGAAAAAAAGAAAGAAAGAAAGAAAGAAAGAGAAAGAAAAAGAAAGAAAGAAAGAAAGAAAGAAAGAAAGAAAGAAAGAAAGAGAAAGAAAGAAAGAAAGAAAGAAAGAAAGAAATCAGCTTTGGCCACGTGACGGCGCTTGCTTGCCAGCTGCGCTGTTTACGCGTCCAGCCAGGCTCCCTCAGTTCCACTCCCATATCGTATCAATGTTGTTTATTCCTGACGTAAAACAATGCCATTCGGTGAGATGTTTGATCAGCCCTGTTTTCTAGCGGTTAAAGCAGCGGTGATAACTGAGCGACGATGATGACAAAAACAAAAGAAAATTGGCCCCGTATCTGCATGTGATCTGCAAATGTCGTCGAAAGACGATAGTCTTGCGTGTGGAGAGAGTAAACAAAACATTTATTTGATGTTCTGCGCAAGAAAATCGGTGAATGGTATTCTGTAGGCGCTGTGTTAGAGTGCCTCGAGCGTGCAGCGGAGGCGAACGAGCGCATCAAATGATGTCACACGTGAGACATGAGCGCCATCTCGCAGTTTCCTTGAAAAACGAAGCGCGCGGATCTGAGACGGGTTTGCGCCGTCTCAGAGATGATTAGGTATAAAACGCCAGGCGACGGGTAGGTGGCACCACCATGTCGTCTTAGCAAAGCGTTGGAAACACTCGCCTTTTCGTGCAAACGTTGCATGGTCAGCGCAGCGTGATAAACGCTACGGTCCTTAGAATTACTTACGTATGCATTTTGTAGTAAAATACGCACATACAGAATATATACTAGTGGTTAGGGAGCCTCATATATGCGCAATAATTGCTTTTTAATTGACGATCGCACAAATATTGTCACGGGGTGAGAGACTGAATGAAATAAATATATTTACAAAATATACAGGGAGAGTCAGAGGCAGCTGCAGCCAAGATGGAAGAACAGCAGCAACAACAACACGAGCACGGTCGCTTTCATCGTCTTCGTTGTCTATGATGCTCTTTCGTTGCCGATGTCGTGTAACAATATGAACGCTGAATCTTGAGCAACATTTGTGGGCGCTGCGGATAGGGTTGGCCGTTTGGGGTATCGGCTAGTGCTGTTTCGAGTACCCGGTACCATCAAGAGTGGACAAACAGACACAGACAGACAGACAGACCATAATTTTTGCGTCGAAGCTCCGCGAGAAAGACTATATCGTCTTTAAAAAGCGACAAAATAAAAGGTCGCGTTTGATAGAAAGCAAAGCATGCGGTCAATCCGCGCGCGTGGGCTGTCCCACGTGGCACGAGTGACTAATTCGACGGCAGTGTTATCGGCGCTCCCGCTGAGGCCTGCCAAAAAAAAAAAAAGAAACATTGGTCGAGCATATCGCGGTGGGCCATCAGCCTTGCCGCACTCAGGCGTGCCGAAAGGCTGCGCCGATTGTGCTATCGGTCACGCGGCGTTTTTAAATTACCCGAGATAGTGCGCAGTGAATGAGTACAAATAGTTGCCCACATATAAGGCGGACTTCATGGGCATAGGGATATGTTTTTGTGCTAAGTTGCTTCCGCATGAAAAACGTGTGGATCGCACACCGTTTAAATATACCAAGTGAAGATACCGCTACACGTATACAGTGCCCTTATATTAGTGTTAAATAGTGCTCACTGCATTCTTGCAGCGTTTAGATAGAAACCAAATAATACAGGTTCCCGCGTTTTGTCGCTGACAAAACGTCCGGTCTTGTTAACCGATGTCTCTGCCGGTGACGGCTAACATCGCGGGCGAAGACCTTCGTGAATGAGACCGGACGTTCTGTCAGTGGCTGAGCGCAGGAGCCTGCATTATCAACAGAGAAAAAAAAAGCAGTGAGACATTCACCTGCCTGCACGTGTCAGCCCCACTGCTTCGTGATATCAGCGCGACAGTGGTGTATGCAAAGACTCTTTCTGAATGGGCTTTGTTGGAGGCGTTCCAAATTGAGAAGAATAAAAAGACTCTAACTAAATTAGATGGACTTCTTGCGTTTTATCTCCCCTGTGAAACGAGGTACAGCTGACTGATACGTTGGTGCAACTTGTCGAAGCTGTCGTCGCCTGTGCAGTCGTGCTTTTAGCTGACAGCGCAAACGGGCGACCATTCACACTGTGGCCACTGCGCTGCTGTGATTGCATCAGCGTGTCTGCAAGAATTCCTAATATGGTGTTATAATGAAAAGGAGCGCTAATTTGGTGAAAGGAAAAAAAAAGAAACCATTTAAGTGATCCAGCGTAGCCCGTGAACGAAGAACGTGGCACTTTTCTGGCTTTGCTTGCGGATCAGGCTGTCATTTTTTTTTCTTCTTCGTCAGTGGCCCCTTATACTATATAGCCTGAAAACTTTGATGTGAAGTAAGTTTACA